CGGTAACCTCCTTTGGAGCACCCTCGCAATCAATCGTTTCTCCGATGCAGGCGCTACTCAGTTTTTATTCGCAAGTATCGATGCCACCGGCATATGGGCTAGTATACCCATCTCCATAACGTTCATTCGACACACTCCTTTTTTCAAATTCACGCTTTACTTCAATATTACTAGCCAAATTTTTGCTACATAAATTCCTTTAATTCGGCATCACTATAACCAAATTCTCCATGGACGTCGGCATTTCCTGTTAATCGTGAAGTTGAAAAAACCCATGATGGAAAATTTAAAGAGAAAATTCTGGAGAATACAATGTCCCCCGGGTAACAATATCTTTTAAATAGAGCACGGAACATGGAAGTACGAGGCGAGAGATCTTTGTTCCAAAATTGGACTGTCAGCCGCAAAAGGGATGTAGAGTCAGAGAACGCAAGGCGATAGTTAGCATTACCAGGCATGCTGTTGTCCCAGCATTTGTCAATTTTAAGGGCAAAAGCGATGAAGACGAAACTCCGGAGCTGAGCATGGAACAGACAGCCTGTAATTAAAATTTGTCTCAAAATTTCAATCGGTGAGTTCAGCACAGCTTAAGTTTTCATTAGTCACCGGCTCGATTCACCGAAAAGTTTCTGCTCATATTGTCTTGTGACGTTCATAAATTTTTCGAAGTCAACGGTTTGAATCACAGAAAAAATCTTGCCCACAACTCCCTGTGCTGGTTTTACATGAGCGAAATGATCCATTGTCCAGCTCATGTTCGTTTTTTTGCTGGCAACATATCCCATGTTTCATCCAGCAAAGAACGCCAAGATTGATGGCTTCTAGAAAATCTCTTGTTTTTTTTGTTCAAAAAACTAACATCACACAGCCTGTTTTTGACTTTTTAAACAAAATTTCATTTAGTGAGTTTAGCGCAGCTTAAAACTTTAGTAGTCATCGGCTCGATTCACCGAAAAGCTTCTGCTCATTATTTCCTGCGACTATCATAAATGTTTAGTAGTTTGCTTTTTTCCGGCAATATTTCCCATTTTCCCATTTTTTATCCAGCAACGAACGCCAAAATTAGTGGCTTCTAAAAAACTTCGAGAAATTTAGCAGCACACTGTGGATGACAAACCAATGGCCTTTTTGGTTATTGATGTTGCTGGAACCAAATTGAATGTTTGTTCTAGTTTTTTTTCTGATCAAGCCAACTCATTTTTGTGTCGGGAAGGACCTAAATTTTGACTAATTTGGGTAAGATCACTCAGAAGATTGCAGCTAACTCCTTCTAAAATCTAAACACAATGAACCCAGTTAAAATTTTTTTTAAAGAAAAAATCACAATAAAAAGTAGTAATTAAATACCGTGAAGTCTTTTTTCAGCATGCTAAAGAACGAAAGCAAGCGAGTCAGAGTAAATTTCACTTTGGTGCTGGAAGCTCTTCAGCAAATGCCTTATTTTTATCGTGCAATCGAGTTCCAAATCAAATCAAATACAAAAACCGATAAGTTATGCAACGTTTTTTTTATGGAATCATTTTCTCGCGTCGCCTAAAGATTTTTGGTCTAGCTGAGTGAACCAAATCAATATGTTAGTCAAATCAATATAATGTTTTGTGCAGACCCGCACTTCAATCAACAAACCTGAAGTTGACGAAGCGCTGTCTCCCATTTGAGCTGGCAATGATTATACTTTTGACTACCAATCCTGCGTTTGAGACAGGCAAGCTAGGAAAAACAAAAAACCATGAAATCATTTTTAGCTAGCTTCGCAACAAGAGCAAGTCTTCCGAGCGTATTTCACTTTTTATTAGAAGTAATTCAGCAAAAGCATGTTTCATCGTGCAATCGATTTCCAAATAGTTCATTTTATGTCGGAATGACTTTAGTCTTGGTTTAATTGTCTAATGGCCTACTCGCTGATGCGAGACTTGCTTCACTGATAAAAATTTTTATGTACTGCTTCACTGGTATGGACCGCAAATATTGAAGTGCTTCAAACAAAAAATTGGAAGATTTCCAAGCCCTTGATAGACTCTAAGTTTGATGATCGAATTAAAACTGTATTTGAGTGCACTTCAGTTTTCATCTTCATTTTAGTAACAACTTCTTTGCTCAAGTAAAATATCGAAAACTGAAAGCTCATTTTCTGCGCTTTCCAGCTCTCCATCAACGTTTGCAGTGCCTTCCAACACCCATGTGCCTCTGTCATCACTCGCCTCAGCGGGGACAGCAACCTTATACGCACTGTTGTCATCGGTAACCTCCTTTGGAGCACCCTCGCAATCAATCGTTTCTCCGATGCAGGCGCTACTCAGTTTTTATTCGCAAGTATCGATGCCACCGGCATATGGGCTAGTATACCCATCTCCATAACGTTCATTCGACACACTCCTTTTTTCAAATTCACGCTTTACTTCAATATTACTAGCCAAATTTTTGCTACATAAATTCCTTTAATTCGGCATCACTATAACCAAATTCTCCATGGACGTCGGCATTTCCTGTTAATCGTGAAGTTGAAAAAACCCATGATGGAAAATTTAAAGGGAAAATTCTGGAGAATACAATGTCCCCCGGGTAACAATGTCTTTTAAATAGAGCACGGAACATGGAAGTACGAGGCGAGAGATCTTTGTTCCAAAATTGGACTGTCAGCCGCAAAAGGGATGTAGAGTCAGAGAACGCAAGGCGATAGTTAGCATTACCAGGCATGCTGTTGTCCCAGCATTTGTCAATTTTAAGGGCAAAAGCGATGAAGACGAAACTCCGGAGCTGAGCATGGAACAGACAGCCTGTAATTAAAATTTGTCTCAAAATTTCAATCGGTGAGTTCAGCACAGCTTAAGTTTTCATTAGTCACCGGCTCGATTCACCGAAAAGTTTCTGCTCATATTGTCTTGTGACGTTCATAAATTTTTCGAAGTCAACGGTTTGAATCACAGAAAAAATCTTGCCCACAACTCCCTGTGCTGGTTTTACATGAGCGAAATGATCCATTGTCCAGCTCATGTTCGTTTTTTTGCTGGCAACATATCCCATGTTTCATCCAGCAAAGAACGCCAAGATTGATGGCTTCTAGAAAATCTCTTGTTTTTTTTTGTTCAAAAAACTAACATCACACAGCCTGTTTTTGACTTTTTAAACAAAATTTCATTTAGTGAGTTTAGCGCAGCTTAAAACTTTAGTAGTCATCGGCTCGATTCACCGAAAAGCTTCTGCTCATTATTTCCTGCGACTATCATAAATGTTTAGTAGTTTGCTTTTTTCCGGCAATATTTCCCATTTTCCCATTTTTTATCCAGCAACGAACGCCAAAATTAGTGGCTTCTAAAAAACTTCGAGAAATTTAGCAGCACACTGTGGATGACAAACCAATGGCCTTTTTGGTTATTGATGTAGCTGGAACCAAATTGAATGTTTGTTCTAGTTTTTTTTCTGATCAAGCCAACTCATTTTTGTGTCGGGAAGGACCTAAATTTTGACTAATTTGGGTAAGATCACTCAGAAGATTGCAGCTAACTCCTTCTAAAATCTAAACACAATGAACCCAGTTAAAATTTTTTTTAAAGAAAAAATCACAATAAAAAGTAGTAATTAAATACCGTGAAGTCTTTTTTCAGCATGCTAAAGAACGAAAGCAAGCGAGTCAGAGTAAATTTCACTTTGGTGCTGGAAGCTCTTCAGCAAATGCCTTATTTTTATCGTGCAATCGAGTTCCAAATCAAATCAAATACAAAAACCGATAAGTTATGCAACGTTTTTTTTATGGAATCATTTTCTCGCGTCGCCTAAAGATTTCTAGTCTAGCTGAGTGAACCAAATCAATATGTTAGTCAAATCAATATAATGTTTTGTGCAGACCCGCACTTCAATCAACAAACCTGAAGTTGACGAAGCGCTGTCTCCCATTTGAGCTGGCAATGATTATACTTTTGACTACCAATCCTGCGTTTGAGACAGGCAAGCTAAGAATGGGATGAATGTACCAACCAAGAAGTTGTTCAGGCGGTGCGATCCAGACAAGTGCGCAGCGCTTTGCTCGCCAGATTTAGCGCGCATTGATTTTTGTTCATCAGATGACGGCATGAGCTATTGACTTTTATTTAAAACAAAATTAAGGAACCCATGATCAGAAGGTTCAGATCACCTGATATTTCATGTCTCACATTACCCTGGAGCTCGCTGACGAAACAAACTTTGCATTGGGACTCAAAAAGGCTCAATGATAATGACGATCTGGTTTTGTTTTTACTTTCCGAGCATGTTCAAAAAGACCATTGACTCCCTGTGCAGACGTCTGGGGATGAACGTTAGCTGTTTTTTTTTCCTGCTGATTACGGAAGAATCTTTGTGTGTTTGGAGCTTTTTGATGTTCCATGCTGCCTTTTTGTCTGTTTTCCTTACTTGTCTGTCGCTAAAGATGGCGTTTCCGGGCAATCAGACTATTTTTTCATTACACACCAATCGCAAATCATTGATGCAGCTACTAAAATGCCCAGCTGGAAGTTGTTGCATTAGCGTGAATTTGTTTGTTCACCCAAAAAATTCTAAATATAATGACAGGTCTAACGAAAGACTGAATTGAAATGATATATCAATTAACTAGATGACAAACTGCTTAGTTCTATGACTGAATGACTGCAGTCTTGGTTGAAGTGACCAATGACGTTTTCCCTGATGCAAAAATTGCTTCAACGATAAGGATTGTTATGGACTGCGTCACTGATCTGGACCGCAAAAATTGAAGTGGTTCAAACAAAAAGAGTGGAAAATTTATAAGCTATTGATGGACTCTAATCTTGATGACCCAATGAAATTTGACTTTATCGATCAATATGTATTTGCTGATTATTTGAGTTCGCTTAAAATTTGATGAGAGCATATGGCCGCTAGATCTAAAACTTATATCAGCTTCCATCTTCACTCTTGTATCAACTTCTTTATTCAAGTAAAAAGCCGAAAACTGAAAGCTCATAATCTGTGCAATCCATCTCTCCATCAACGTTTGCAGTTACTTCCAAAGCCCCTATGCCTCTTTCATCGAAGCTACCGCTGGCTCCAATGGATTTGCTCGAAGCGTGGACAATTTTCTTCTTCGCTGCAATTCGTCTCACAGCCAGTTTCGTCTGGTTTTGCACTTTGTCGGCCGACACCTTGTAATTTGCCGAGATGTATTTGACGATCGCAGATTTGCTTGATCCTTTCTTGTCTTTCAGCTCTTTGATGGCATTTTTGATCATAGATTTGAGAGGTGGGTGCGCTGGTTTGGCTGCTGCCGGCATTTTGGCGGCCTTGGCAGGGGAAGTTGCCATTTTTTAGAGATTATGTTTTTGTCGAAATTATCGAAATAAAGTCTAAATTGTTTGTAGAGTGAAATTGAGCTGGATTAAAAGTGAACAAAATTGCTCACTATATATACATTAGAGCTCAACCGGAACAAAAATTCACAACGGCATTTAAAAGAAACACAAAATGATCAAAATATTTACAGTTTTTGAAAACAAAAGTTCAAATTTACCAACTCTGGCATTAGATTTTCAATGTCTGAAAAATGGACGATTTAGATTAAAATAAACTCTATACGACGAAGTAAATATTAGTAGATTTCGATATGGAGGCAATGGACAAAAAAGCTTTCAAACGAAATGAACATCAAATTATTTATCTTTTGCGCTTTTTCAGTCATAATTTGACCTTTAGCGGGGTCTGATTAGGTTCAAAGTTAATATACAAGCAGCTAAATTTCCCGAAACTCCGGTCAGGTAAGTTTTGTCCCTAAAAAGATGACTGTGAAAAAAGTAAACACGATTTTTATGATTTGGGTCTATATTTTTTTGACCAAGAAATTGGATAGAATGGACCAGAACAAATTTTTTTGAATTTTTAATCTCAATTTCTCGCCGATGTACAGACTTCATCAAGAAAAAAACTGAAGAAGGCCTGACACAAATCACGCGTTGACCTCATGAATTGTTCAAATATTTACTGTTCCAAATGTTTACAGCCTCCGAAATCTGCCATTTTTTCATAATACTAACTTTTCTGAAATTTCCCAAAACTAAATGGTTTTCCTTTAAGACATCCTAGCTACTAACAATCTATGTGACCCACTTTCTTGTGCATTAGTCAAAATTTTCATCAAATGTTCAGTAAAGCTATCATAGGAATTGACCAAAAGTCGCTATCTTTGAGCTTTTCTTATAGGAATCTTTCAAATTTATAGGCTCTAAGATTATTACAAGATAGGGTCTTTTGTAACAGAAAGTTGTCAGATATGGAACTTTTTGTAGGATTGTCATCCCGGTGTTTTTGATATGTTTTAGGATGTGGAGCTGTTTGGGGGTGCGGCTCATCAGTTAATACTCTAGAAAAAAGTTAAGAACTCATGTTTTTTTCCTTTTTGCCGAGATTGGTGGTTCTGTGAGTTAGTTCACAGAACTGACAACATTACTGAGTCCCATATCCGCCGAGGCAGATCGGTTGCTGGCTGAAGACTGATTCTAATATTTTAAGAATCAGATTTGCCGCAGCATCCGCAAAATTGCTGCTTTTCTTTGATTTTCTTTGCTGTTTTGGATACCAAAAACAAATAGCTAATACACTGTACCGCTCAAAATTGCTCCAAAAACAGGCGTAATTGCTGAATCCGAAAATGCATTTGCGGAATTCGGGACAGTTTGTGGAATCTAGAAACAAACAAAAAACATGTGGGAAGTGAAGGTGTGCTTTTGCCGACTCCGAAACTGTAACCGGAATTCTTAGTTTGTACGCGGTGTATTTGTCGGGTTTATTGTTTCCAAGTTCAAACCAATTTTACGAAAGTTGACAGCCTATGAATTGCCAAGCGAGTATGCTTGCACCAACCTAAACTGCGGATATCTTCGCTGCTCGAATAAAACTTTGATAATTGTTCCGACTTTCGATACGAAAGTAACGGAATATTTATGCTCGGGGTGGGTTTTTTTTCTTCAGACAAATTTCGAATTTTTAACTAGCCATTTTTGACAAATTTTTTTTATATCATTCAAAAGATATTGTTATCTTGAGCTTAAATTTGAAAAGATATTTCACCTGTGATTATTTTTTGTAAAGTTATGAGAGTTTAAAAATTGCCATTTTGACCAATTTGGGACAATTAACGCGCGATATAATTCGCGCTATTAACGCGCGATATAATTCGCGCTATTAACGCGTAAGCGGAGATTTAATCCGTCTTATAAATCGTTCCAAATTGGTTGAACGAAGCTTATGTGCCATAATTGATTTGTTACAAGGAACGAAATCTATCTTTTTGTACTTTATATGGCGTGTGGGGGGATGATTTCCATAAAAAAATTTCAAATTTTAGAGAAAAAAAATCTTCGTTTCATATATTTCTTTAAATTTTTTTTCGTTTTTACTGCTGCTCCATAAACCTTAAAAGGCAGTCGGAACATTCAGGGCATCGCCTTGATACGAGCATTTTTGTTTCTTTTTAAAAATTAAAATAAATTCATTCAAAATAGCCTTCATCGCAGCTTTGTCAAATTAGAAGAGATAAGAACAAACCAAAACCGTTTGAATCATTTTGATAGTCCTAATACTGCAACAACATTAGGTCAGTGTTCAAGTTTGAACTGATAATTTGAATTTTGAATCGTATGTGCAAATAATGCAACAAAATTGTACCGGTTGAAACATTCGAAATTGCTGATATTGAGTTCTCAAATCAAGCAGTTTCTTTTGTCACATCCAAAAAAGGTTTACAGGCTGGCATAAAATTAAAAGGAACTCTCTATAAAAGAAAAACAATAAGGCTAATTGGAAAACACAAGAAACAAGGTAAATAGATCGAAATTAGACAGAGCTTACCAAGTCTATTGGTTGATGTCACTGAGTAAACTCGGCCATGCTAAAGAAGATTATCCATCTCGCATGCATTTATTGTGCTTTTGAGGATTTCTCTGAGGATTTCTCTGAAACGTTGTGCATGAGCGAAATGATCCAAGTGTCCAGCTCATCTTCGCTTTTCTGATGGCATCCCACTTTTCATCCTGCAAAAAACGAAAGATTAATGGCTTCTGAAAAGTCTCGAGTTTTTTCTGTTCAAAAAACTAACAGCCTCCTGTGGATGACAAACCAATGGCATTTCTGGTTACTAGTTTTGCTGGAACCAAATTGAATGTGGGCTCTAGTTTTTTCTGATCCAGACAACGCATCTTTTTTGCCGAAAAGACCTAAAAATTGGCTAATTTGGGCAATATTACTCGCAAGATTGCAGCTAATTTCATGCTAAAATCCAAACACAAGGAATCAAGTGAAACTTTCTGTGAGAAAAATCACAATTGAAAGGAAAAAGAAAAAACCATGAAATCTTTTTTAGCAAGCTCAAATCAACAGCAAGTCCTCCCAGCGTATATCACGTTTTTATTAGAATTCATTCAGCAAAAGCATGTTTCATCGTGCAATCGAATTCCAAATAGTAGATGCGGAAGTTATCTTCAGCTAGCAAGATCCTAGCTAGTCCTAGCTATCCTAATCTTTCCAAGCTCAGAAAACTCAGATCATTTGATGTTTCATGTCCCACAGTACCCTAGAGCTCGCTGACGAAACAAACTTTGCATTGGGACTCAAAAAGGCTCAATGATAATGACGATCTGGTTTTGTTTTTACTTTCCGAGCATGTTCAAAAAGACCATTGACTCCCTGTGCAGACATCTGGGGATGAACGTTAGCTGCTCTTTTTTTCCTGCTGATTACGGAAGAATCTTTTTGTGTTTGGAGCTTTTTGATGTTCCATGCTGCCTTTTTTGTCTGTTTTCCTTACTTGTCTGTCGCTAAAGATGGCGTTTCCGGGCAATCAGACTATTGATTCATTACACACCAATCGCAAATCATTGATGCAGCTACTAAAATTCCCAGCTGGAAGTTGTTGCATTAGCGTGAATTTGTTTGTTCACCCAAAAAGTTCTAAACATAATGACAGGTCTAACGAAAGATATATCAATTAACTAGATGACAAACTGCTTAGTTCTATGACTGAATGACTGCATTCTTGGTTGAATTGACCAATTACGTTTTCCCTGATGCAAAAATTGCTTCAACGATAAGGATTGTTATGGAATGCGTCACTGATCTGGACCGCAAAAATTGAAGTGGTTCAAACAAAAAGAGTGGAAAATTTGTAAGCTATTGATGGACTCTAATCTTGATGACCCAATGAAATTTGGCTTTATCGATCAAATTGTGTTTGCTGAGTATTTGAGTGCGCTTAAATTTTGATGCGACCATATGGCCGCTAGATCTAAAGATTGAATCAGCTTCCATCTTCACTCTTGTATCAAATTCTTTACTCAAGTAAAATGACGAAAACTGAAAGCTCATACTCTGTGCAATCCATCTCTCCATCTACGTTTGCAGTTACTTCCAAAACCCTTGTGCCTCTGTCATCACACGCGTCAGCAGATACAGCAATATTATATGCACTGTCGACATCAGTAACTCCTTTTGGAGCACCCTGCAACCATTCGTTTCTCCGATGCAGGGCTACTCAGTACTTATTCGTGAATACCGACGCCACCGACATTTGGGCTTGTATAACCCTGTGGGAAAGGTTCGTTCGGCACCCTCCTTAATTCAAATTAAGGCCGTACCTCAACTTTACCAGCCAAATCTTTGCTACATGGATTGGTACATTTCTGCTTCACCAAATCCAAAACGGGCCATTTCCTAATTATCGTTAAGTTGAAAAAATGCATGCCGAAAAGTACAAGGAGAAACATCTGGAGAGCACAATGTATCTCAGGGCAACAATGTCACCTAAAGACAGCAAGGAACATAAAAGCACGAGTCGGGAGATCTTTGTATCACAAATAGACTGTCAGCCGCAAAAATGATGTAGAGTCAGGCAATGCAGGCGATAGTTAGCCTTATGGTGCATGTTGTTGTTGTCCAAGCATTTGTCATTTTCGGGGGCTAAAATGATGAAGACGAATCATCGGGGCTGAGCATAGAACAGACAGCCTGTAATTAAAATTTGTCTCAAAATTTCAATCGGTGAGTTCAGCACAGCTTAAGTTTTTATTAGTCACCATCTCGATTCACCGAAAAGTTTCTGCTCCGATTTTCTTGTGACGTTCATAAATGTTTCGAAACCAACGGTTTAAATCACAGAAAAAATCTTGCCCACAACTCCCTGTGCTGGTTTTACATGAGCGAAAAGTTCCGTTGTCCAGCTCATGTTCGTTTTTTTGCTGGCAACATATCCCATGTTTCATCCAGCAAAGAACGCCAAGATTAATGGCTTCTAGAAAATCTTTTGTTTTTTCTGTTC